TTCCTGAATATTAGTTACAGTAAGTGCAAGATGCACTTAGGGTACCAGATGCAAATTTGATGTTTTAATAAAGGAAGACTTAGTCTATGCATGGAGTTTTTTAGTATTTGAATCCTCTGAAGTGTCATGAAGTTAGGTTTTCCATTTTTTTATTTAAAGATGTGATTTAGGGGCTTTTGTCATTGCAGAGGTCAGGAGGAGTTTTGAATTGGTCATGGCTTCAAAAGAGTTATACCTATTAAATTGATATTGGTTTTGAACTGGGATGTATGTTATCAAAGAACCATCCAATTTGTTTCTGGGACAGCAAGAACTTCAGGAAACTTAGAAAATAGTTCTGCTGGAAGCTTTCTTTCGGACCTGGGTCATTATTATTTGGAATTTAAAGATCTGTATGTTAATGATACTGGTTTTGTACGACAGTATTATTACTAGAAACATCAGGGATATCCACTTTCATGCAAATCAGTGATGATGTTGCCATAAATAGGAACTGGCAGGAGTCCAAGGTCATGGTCAGAGCAAGGGCAAAAATTCCAGTCCCCATCAGGGCAGGAAGAGGCTGAATGCAGATGTCGTGCAGCACAAAGGATGGCATCACAGAAAGAAGATGCAGATGCAGAAGCTACATGTCCAGCAGCTTTGTTGACTCAGGGATCTTCACAGCAGTGCCTGTTTTGCCCCGTGAAGAAGTCTTGTCCCATGACCATCTTCTGAGACCTCTTCTTCCCACTTGGCAGCTTGTAGAAACTCTGGGTTTTCCAGTTGTAAAATAATAGCATCACTTCCTTCACAGAGCTGATTCTACCTGTGTGAATATTTTTGCTACCACATGAAATACAGTTTAATGAAAATACAATATGCTAGTATGGAAGTGAACCCCCAAATAGTTCCAGATTATTGTCTTCTAAAATCCGATAAATATTTTCACCATCAGGAAAAAAACCCCAAACAGACAAACCATCAAAACTATTGGTAATTGCTTAAAGTCATTCGCTTTCTTTGTTCTTAGGTTAGTGCAAATGCAGTGAATATTTCTCATCTAACTGAGCCATTAATTCACTCTTACATTCTTCACTAGAAGAGAAACTTCTTTTAAAAAATTGTTTAAGTATAACTAATAATTATTATTATAATTGCATATAAAAATACAGTATTACATCCTCTGGGAGATGTTTTAAACATTTAATTATACATTTTTTTCACAAAAATATATTTCAGATTTTTTTCTTTCAAGGTGCTGATATACTTGATTTAAAAAGTTTTAATAGTTATTTTATAAATTTAAGATTTATCTTGAAATTTAAGGCCCGAAGTCAGCAAAGCACCTGAGTGTATATTAAGATCCATCAAAGCCAGAATATTTTGTATATCCTTTGACAATGGTGCGTGTATATATTTATGTTTATTCAGGACACAGATCAGTCCAACTGCAGAAAAGGTGGTTCTTTTCTGCTTTTCTTTTTTAGTATGGTAATACAATGGTATATAATGGCTTCTGAATAAAAATACTTCTACATGTGTATATATATATATATAAAACAATGCTTGCAATATAAAGTATGATATATTTATGTATTGAGAGTGTGGTTCTTGCTTTAAATTTTTCACTGGCTTCTTTGCTACACAGCTGTATTCAGCAATAAAAAATAAAACATTACTGATGTCCATGCAGCAGAAACAAATGAGTTTCTGTGTAAAAACTGAAATCAGAAATATAGAATGTTATGTAAACATCCTTCAGCTTCTTGTTCTTAGCACTGTGTTTATTGATTCTTAAAATAAGACTTTAATTTTGATAGATGTCCCCTAGAAGCTAGCCTGACACCATCAGTATTACAGCATAATTTAAAAGGCCCTTTTCTGCCAAGTATTTTTTTTTCACTGCAAGTCCAACCAAAGTAGCTTCTGCCTGTTTTCCCTTTTATCCATGCAGTTTCTGCTGGGTCTGCAGCACTTCTCTGCTGTGCCATTCATTCCAGCTGTTTCAAAAGAAGCAGCTGATAACCTGTATCAGGGAATTAGCTATTTTTAACCCTGATATGGTTGCTGTGTGACCCTAAAAGCCCTTAGGGTGTCTCAGGGGCAGAAATAAGCGGTGTGGCACACAGGCTGATTAAAGCTGTAGTGCCTCTGAAAGACACAGTTATTGTCCTGTATCTCCAGAGAAAAAAATGTAATACTTAGCTGCTTCCAGAGTTGCCAAAAGCTCTCGAGGATTACCTTTATAGAGTGTTACATGAGGTTGAGAGGATCTGATTCAATGAGATACAGTCAATAAAAAAGGAAGAAAGGAAGGAGCCTTTTTCAGATTCTGTAAATTAAATAAATCATAGAATTATGAACAGTTTAGATTGGAAAAGACCTCAAAATCATTGAGTCCAACCATTAATGCAGCACTGCCATGTTCACCACTAAACCATGTTCCTAAGTCCCACATCTACATGTCTTTTAAATGCCTCCAGGGATAATGATTCTACCTGGGCAGCTTGTTCCGATTCCTGAACACCCTTTCCATGAAGAAATGTTTCTTAATATCCAGTCTAAACCTCCTCTGGCAAAACTTGAGGCCATTTGCTGTTGTCCTGTTGCTTGTTACCTGGGAGAAGAGAATGAGCCCCACCTCACTCCAGCCTCCTTTCAGGTTGATGTGGAGAGTGATAAGGTCCCTCCAGAGACTACTTTTCTCCAGGCTGAACAACCCCAGCTCACTCAGGTGCTCCTCATAAGATTTGTGCTCTAGGCTTCTCACCAGCTCCACTGCCTTTCTCTGGACACACTCCAGCACCTCAAAATCCTTCTTGTAGTGAGGGGCCCAGAACTGAACACAGGATTTGAGGTGTGGCCTCACCAGTGCAAGTACAGGAGGATGATCACTGCCCTGGTCCTGTTGGCCATACTGTTGTTGATACAAGCCAGGATACCATTGGCCTTCTTGGCCCCCTGGGCACACTGCTGACTCATATCTAGCCAGCTGTTGGCCAACATTCCCAGGTCCTTTTCCACCAGGCAGCTTTCCAGCCGCTCTGTCCCCAGCCTGTAGCTCTGCCTGGGGTTGTTGTGACCCAAGTGCTGGACTTGGCCTTGTTGAACCTTATGTAGCTGGCTTCAACCCATCGAGCCAGCCTGTCCAGGTCTCTCT